GCAGGCGGCGGCGACATGGTGGCCAGAGCGGCGCGCATGACAAGGCGACGGGCGGCGACGAGGCGGCGACGGCGTCCACGTGGCCGCCAAACCGACGACACGGCCCAGACGATAGGCGGCGACGGGGCGGCGACGGCGGCCACATAGCCGCCAGACCGAAGGACACGCCCCAGTTCATAAAAACCACAGCTGCAAACCCGAAGTGCAAGCACTGTTTGGGGAATCTGTCGGCCCAACCCTTCGGCGTGTGTAGAACACTCTCGTCGTCTTCGTCGTCGTCGCCAGTCCTGCAGACATTGAGGTACGAAAAATAAGGAAGGTCGCAATGACATCGATTCCCTTCCTTTCTTCCCTTCTTTGACTGGGGGGGGGTCGGAGGGGGATACAAACGGATACGGGGTTTGGGTAACCCTATGCCCCCGATAATCACAGGGTGGGGGTGATAAGATTCGGGGTTATGGCGGGATACTTATCCAAATACGTTTGCCCCATGCGGGTCCGAGCTCAAACCGTTCTAATTGGTCCGTTGCCCTCCCCCCATTATTTTTTTTTCAAATGGCTTGCCCTACAGGACTCCTAGCTCAAACGCTACTAAATTCTCCGTTGTATGCCTGCTTGCTTGCTGGCTTGCTTGCACGCTTGCTGAGTTGCGAATTTTAAAAATGTTTGATTCCTCTGATCCCTTGATCTGAGCCGTATAATCGATTTGGAATCAACGCTGGCTGATATCCTATGCCCCCCATAATTTCCAACTTCCTATGGCTATGTCTATGTCTATGCCTCTCCCCTAACAGCTGTGCCTACGCCTATGCCTATGCATGCCTATGCCTGCTTGCTTGCTTGCTTGCACGCTTGCTTGCTTGTTTGCTTGCGCGCTTGATTGCTGAGTTGCGGCTTCCAAGCATGCTTGATTCCTCTGACTCCTTGATTCGAATCGTCTTATATGTTTGGAGTCAACGCTGGCTGTTACAAACTTTTCCTGGCAAGTCGCAAAATAAAAAAAGAGGAGCAAAAGGGGGAAGAGCGAACGGAATCTTTCGGAGTGTACGAACGCACGGGATGTCTCATGGTATAACGATACCCTGCTCGCTCAGGCGGGGCCTCCCTGGATGGGGTGGGACGAGCAGAAATCCTGAGAAACACCATGGCACAACGATAACGTGCTTGCTCAGGCGGAGCTTCTCTTGAGGGGTGGGAGGAATGGGGATCCTGAGAAACACTATGGTGTAGCGAAGATAGGATCTACGGTGCATACGTCCCCTGGCGATAATGAAATTCGAAAGAGCGCGTTCAGCGGTCGCTTGGAGGTGGGTGGGGGGTTTGGAACCGGACCCCCCCCCTTGTGGATGGAAAGGGGCGGGGTTCAAAACCGCCCCCCCCCCCCGTCCTCCCATGACGGAGGTGGGGGGGGTTCGACCCTCCCCCCCCTTCCTCCCCTACTTCTCCTCTCCCTCTCCTCGGGCCGGCGCCTGCGTCGGCGGCGGCTGGCGGGGCGGCGGGGACGACGATTTCATTTTCTGGGCCGGCGCCGGCGCCTGCGGCGACGGGAGGCGGCGGCAGGGAACGTCGACGAGCACGACGGTGGTGGTGGTGGTGGTGGTGGTGGGCTGTGGTGGTGGTGGTGGTGGTGGTGGTGGTGGTGGCTGTGGTGGTGGTTGTGGTGGTGGTGGTGGTGCGATGGTTTGTTGTGGTGGTCGTGGTTGCGGTGGTTCGTTGTGGTGGTGGTGGTGGTGGTAGTGGTGGTTTGGTGGTGGTGTGGTGGTGGTTTGTGGTGGTGGTGGTGGGCTGTGGTGGGCTGTGGGGGTGGTGGTGGTGGTGGTTTGGTGGTGGTGTGGTGGTTCGTGGTGGTGGTGGTGGGTTGTGGGTTGTGGTGGTGGCGGTGGTTTGTGGAGGTGGTGCTGAGGGTGGTGGTGGTGGTGGCGGTGGTGGTGGTGCTTTGGTGGTTTGTGGTCGTGGTGGTGGGTTGTACTGCTGGTAGTGGTGGTGGTTGTGGCGATGGTGGTGGTGTGGTAGATTGTGGTGGTGGTGGTGGTGGTAGTGGTGGTGGGTTTTTGTGGTGGTGGTGGTGATGGTGAGTGGTGGTGGCTATGGTGGCGGTGGTGGTGGCTATGGTGGTGGTGGTGGTTGTGTGGTGGGTTGTTGGTGGAGGTGGTGGTGGGTTGAGGCGGTGGTGGTGGTAGTAGTGGTGGTGGTGGTGGTAGTGGTGGTAATCGTCGCTGCGTCTTGCCGTCGCCGGCGCCATGGGGGGGGGGTTGAAACCCCTCCCCCCCTGCGCCAGGGAGGGGGGGAGGGGGTTTGAACACCCCCCCACCCTTGGGCTGCCTCTGGTCATCGTCGTCGCTGCGTCCCCGCCGTCGGCGCTGCTGGCAGCCGCCAGCGCCAGCGCCAGCGCTGGCGCCGAGGGGGGGGTGGGTTTGAACCCCCCCTCCCCCCTTGGGACGGGAGAGGGTTCGGGAGGGGGGGGTTTGGGGGGGAGGGGGGCCTCCTTGGTTTTGATCGA